TGGTCGCAACAGCCGAAGCTGAGCCTATCCAAAACCAGGAGCCAGGAACTTCTTCCAGGTCCCCCACGTGTGTTCAGGGTCCCAAGACCTTAGGCCAGCCTCTGCTGCTTTCCCAGGCCATTAGCAGGGAACTGGATTGGAAATGCAGCAGCCAGGATTCCAACCGACACCCATATGGGTTGCTGGTGGAGGATTAGCCTGTTGAGTCATAACACCAGAGTCCTATAATAATAGTTTTAGCATGAAGTAGCCATGAGTACAGACCATGAGAAAGAGTTGATGATCAATCATTATCTTGAGGAATGAAGTTATGCAAGTCATGGTGGAAGTAGCTGTAAAGACAGTTTCCACGTGGCTACATATAGCATGGGGCTGTATGTCCTCATCTGTCCCACTGATGTTTAGGCTGGCACAGAACCAGAGAGAGACAGGGAAGACAGTCCTGCTTGTTCTTCAGTGCTGCTCAACTGCTTTTTATCATAATAAAATACTGTGAACGGATAAATATTGCTGGCAGTTATTCTCCACCTCACTGCATGAAAGTCCCAGACACAAATACATGATGCAGAGTCTCCTTCAACCTTGACCTTTCTTTCTGGGAATGGAGCACTGAGGTCTGGTGGGGAAACAGTCTCCTGCGACAGATGCAGAACCCCAGATGGGCAGCTCCACGGCCAGGGTGGTAGGAAGCCAGGCTTTAGTGTTGTCGCCATGGAGGAGCTAACCTTGTCCTGGTCTTACAGGCTCCGGTCAGAAGTGTATACAGGGTAAGGATGGAAGATACTTAGCCCTGCGAGAATTTGAAATTGAAGGCGGCTACGTGACATCCAACAACTGGAAGCAAAGCGTGCGCTGCCTTGGGTGGCCCCTGAAATTTTTGATCCAGGTATTTTGGTGACTTGAGGTCTTGTCAATGCTTTACCATCAAGATTCACCAGTCTGGACTTTGGGGGACCTTTGCTGTGTCCACAAAGCCATCCTGACTGTACATCCCAGGGTGACAATGCAATTGTAGCTTTACTGCACAACTCAGTGTCTCCATGATTGGCTTGCTTTACAGCCTGGTCCTGTAAGTACATTAGCATGTCCCCTTTGGGGGACAGGATGGTTGGTACCTTGTGGTCTTCATTCTGCCACAAAGGAATTGTGCAGTGGGTCACATGAGGGGAGAAGGGAGTGTGCAACTTTAGGAACCAATAAATGTACCGTCATAGAATTATGCATATGGAAATGCTGAATGGTGTGGGTAGTTCCTAGATTCTAGTGTATTTCAGCTAGATAAACCAGTCAGTGTTAACCTTGAAAGAGGACATAAACAGAGTACATTATAAGTGATAGCTTTGCCCCTTCCATGAATCCCCTGGCATGGACAAGGCAGGAACAGGCTCTCCGTGCAGATGAACCTGCTGTGGAATTTCAATCCCGGATACCGAGCTCTTCCAGCACACCTCAGACAGTCCTTGCTTGTGGCATTCTTGCAATGAAGAAAGGGTTTTTTGTAAAGCAAATATTTAATGAGCTCCATCTCAAGCTACAAGAGAGGACCAGGTATGAATCCCAAACCAGGGAGATGGCTGCCCCCAACCACGGAGTAGCATGGGGCGCATGCTGGAGTAAGGAGCATTGGCAGGAGGTGAGGAAGCAGCTGGATGAGGGACTGTCGTTTCTGGCTCTGAAGTCAAGGGCAGATTCCCGGGACAGTTTTCATGTCCAAGAACAGTCTGGCAAACAAGAATGATGAACAGGGCATCATATGTGCACACAAAGGACAGCCAGAATTGTGCTGCGCCATGTGCTGGGACACATCTGGTTAAAAAGGCTCCAGTTGTTAGCTCAGCTGATGGTAGAGGGCAGGAAGCCCTCCATCACCAGAACATCGTGGAAAACAATCTCCATGAAGACATCTTGACTTAGAGCTGACAGTGAGACACCCAAATAGAAATTGCTAGAAGATAGTCATAGACACAAGCCTCACAGAACAAAGGCAAGATCCATGATGTCATTTACTGTTTCTGTCTTTCAGAAAGGATTTCTGCAAAACCCACCAAGAAGCAGAAGAAAGATGACTATCGCCTGACTTCCTACCAGTGTCTCATCCATCCAATCTCTGATTTTCCGTGATAAAATTAATTTTATACATGATGCTCTTGCTGCTTCCAAACATCGCACAAGGTAGGAGGCTTTGGGCACTGGAAGCTGCAGCTGGAGATGGGAGCAGTCCTGCAGAATAAATGATCAGAGTGAGCCCCCCTGGTATGTATTTCACTGTCACGCCACTTCCAGTGGAGCCTGCATGAGAAATCACCAGGCCGAGGTGGAAGCTTCAAGGAAGGATGCCTCCTGGACTCGGCTGCATCTCTAGTGGTCTTGGCATTCCTGACTGTGCTCTCTTTGCTCTTATCTTTATGGCTGGAATAATACTACTTGTGTTCGGCAAAGGCTCAATGTTCCTTTATAGTTCTATGAAGCCTTCTGACAGGAGACTGGACAAGGCTGGCAAGCAGTCTGAGATAAAACTATCAGGTCACTAGCTTTAACAAACCTACCTGGGACTATGTTTGAGAATTCCTAAAAAGAAGATTATAGTGGAAATCTATAGCTTAAAACACCATACAGGAAGAAAAACTAAGAAAAATAGACAGGTTAATATTAAAGCCAATGTAAGGCACAAAACACAATGAGAGCTAAGCGCTTAATGATTAAAACTGCAGCTGGTGCCACACCGCATCCACAAGAAATAGCAACTGCAGGCTGTCACCAGGCTGTTAGAGAACATCTTTTCTCAGCAGACCCGCTTACCTCCCTGGAATAATTGTTTGTAGAAATGTAACCACATGAATAAACAAAGAAAACGTCCCTTTGCAATCATCTATTACATATAAGTTGATACCTTGCTTTTGAAAAATGCACTCAGGTACAACTGTCTTGCGCTGTCGTGTCTGTCTGTCACTCGCTGAATCCTTGCCCACCATCCCGGGGTCCTGTTCCCGTCGGACTGATTGCTCCCAGCTGAGCCAGTCTGTCGCATTTCACTAGAAGATCTGAAATGTCGTACTTTCTTAGAACTAAGCACAGAAGATGGAAGTGGAGTTTAAAAAGCAAGTGTGGGTTTGAAATACATACAGGGAAGGAGCAGCTGTTTCGCTGGGAACATCCTATGATCACACTAAATGACCTAATGTAGAATTCCCCAGGGAACATGCATCACCCAGTGGCCAAACAACAAAAACACATCCTCTGCCTTTCATGCATACTTTCCCTGCACTGCACATAAGCTTGTACACACACACACACACACACACACACACACACACGGGAAATGCTTTTGCTTTATTACATTCTGAGAAGAACAGGACTGCAGCAGAAGTGCCCTGTAAGCCTGCTGATCTGCAGTCTCTCCTTTGTGAAGAGACCTCGGCCTATCAGAGGGGCTCTACAGACCCCATGCCATCAGTGATGGTGGAGACTCCCTCCGTGTGAGCGAGCCATTATGGAGTTCACAGACCAGCGACCTCCATGCTGTGTGGACTCCAGAGAAAGTAGTGAAAGCACTGCCTTGCCTGTCCTCGCCAAGGCTGCGGGTGAGCGAGCAAGCACGTGGTGCAGGAGTGTCAGGGAAGGACTTCCATTTCCATAACCTGTGGCATAGGTAACCTTCCACATCCCTTGCATACCAGGAAGCCAGTCCTCACAAAGCTGGCCAGGGGCCATTTTCTTCACTGACTTGATAACTAGAGATGCAGGGACAGGCTTCTGCATCCACCAAGGTTTCTGGAGAGAAGTGATTTGATCTATTGATTAAGTGAGTTCAGCATAGGCTAATCCCAAGCTGGTCATCTCCCTTCCTTCGCTTTATCACAGGTGCTCCCCCGCCATGCCCTAAGCACCTGCTCCAAAAGTGAAACCACCTCAGCTCCCAGAGGGTCACTCCACCGGGTCTTCCACCCCAGCCCTTGGTTTCTGATTCTTGTGTTATGCATCCATTCAACAAGCAACTGTGGAGCAGCTATTAGGTGCCAGGTGTTATGCTGATCAGTGGTAATGCAGAGCAGGCCAATATGACTGAATTGTGTAAGCCTCCTGCCTGACTTGGCATAATAATACATGGTGGGGCTGGGGGAAAATGGAGTTCTGAACCACTCAAAGAGGTGGGCAGTGACATGGCCATCATCTCCAGTCTGTGTGGTCTGAGTCACACTGAGTGCTGTGGGCAGGAGGTAAGAGCTGGGGTAGCCATTGTTCTAGGCTGGAGGGAGGCCAAGCCATCCCAGATACCCAGGGTCCATGTAGCTGGGATTCAGGAGAATGTGGAGAGGTCCCATCTTGAGGAAGAAGAGCTGTGAGCACTGGAGACTCTGGGAACTTGTGGTCCTCAGCATTGCATCCCACTGAGGAGGTCTTTTGGGGGCTGCTGCATTGCTCTGAACTGAATGGTTATGAGAGTCAGTGAATGGTGACCCAGCCTGGTTTCCACGGTCCTAACTTAGAGGAAAAGGGCCAAGGGCCCCCACGTGGGAGGACCAGCACAGTGTCGTGGCTTAGTCTGGGAACCAAGGCCAGGCTCCCTGCATGGCCTCCAAAGGCCTGCACCTGGGGTTGAAGAACCAGGTCTGAAACCTACTTAAAGCCAAACCTCCATGAACACAGTAATGAATGCTTTCCATTCTCCAGTTCGACACCCAGCCACATAAACACAGATACAAAATGAAACCAAGGGAGGGCTGTGGCACAAAAGACTGAAATGTTCTGTTCAGGGTCACAGGTTAAACTGCTGCCTACAACACTGGCATGCCATCTGAGTGCTGGCTGAAGTTCTGGCTGCTCCACTTCTGATCCTAGTCCCTGCTGATGCACCTGGGCAATGCAGCGAAAGGTGGCCCAGGCGCTTGGGCTTCTACTTCACATGGGAGAGACCCAGATGGAGTCCCAGGAGTCAGGCTTGGGGCTGGCTCAGTCCCAGCTGCTGTGATCATAGGGGAGTGAACCAGACGAGTCTCTGTGTGTGTGTGTGTGTGTGTGTGTGTGCCCCTCTTCCTCTGTAAGTCTAACAAATCTTTAAAATAATTCTTCTAAAACTATACTCATGAAACTATGACTCATGAAACGTCATATCCAATATTGTGACTCAGTCTTTCTCTTTTCCACAGCGTACACAGCAGTCTGACAGCAGCACCTCTATTGACCCTTATGTAAGTACAGACTCCTTCCTGTGATCCTGTGAGAGTCCGGGCTTCTCCCCAAGCACATGATCTCAGTCCTACTGCTGTCCCCTGCCGCATGCTCACAGTTGGCGGCAGAATGCCTTTCGTACCCTGGTTCTTTCACCTCAACACACAGAACTCCCGGGACAGGGTCTGCACCCAGGCCCGCACTTCAACTGCTCAGAGGCTTATGGATGGAACTACGGGACACAGAATGTCACAGAAGTTGACTCCATCATAGTATGTTCTCATGAACTGCCCTGGAACAAGTCAATTTAAATGATGAATGTAGCTAGATAACACACTATGTTTTGAGGCCAGGCTTTGCCAACCAAAAAATAATTGATTCAGATGATTTTTAGTTCATTTTTGGTGCTATTTCTAAGCTATTCTGGGTCTGAATCTCAGCTTTCATAAAAACTTCTGTCCTGTCACTGCCCTGCACCAGTGGCATCCCATATGAACACTAGTTTGAGTTGCAGCTGCTGCACTGCTGATCCAGCTCCCAGCTAATGTGCCTGGGAAAGCAGTAGGTGACGCTCCACATGCTTGGGCCTCTGCAGTCACATGGGAGACCAAATGGGGTTCCTAGCTCCTGGCTTCAGCTTAGCCCCACCTCTGCTGTTGCTGACACAGAGCCAGCACTTCCTGAACTTTACCGCACAACAGAATGGTCTTGAAAAATCTCCACTCGATGTGGATCCTTTCCTTTTGAGGTTGGAGACTTCCAGGTGTCACCTTGGCATGTGCAAGGTCACATGTCCTAGAATCCCAGTGTGTTGACCTGTGGGGTCTCACTAATCCCCAAGACATCTATTCCATCTCCTCTTTCAGCCAGAGAACTCCAATGAGTGTGACATGTGCTGCCAAGGGGGGATGATTTACTGCTGCGATACCTGTTCAAGATCCTACCACCAGGACTGCCACATCTCACATATAGACCCTGAGAGGTTAGTAAGCCACTTCCCCACCCAACCCTCTCCTGGTACAGCACCTGCATCATTCACAGCTGGCCTGCCGGGTTCTGGGTCCTGGTGAGCTTCAAGGATCTATCAGATGAGGATCCATAAGGATCTCCCAGAGCTCTAACGTGGCCAATAGCAGCAGACTCATAGAGGCAGAGTCTCTTCAGATGGTTCCTAGAACCTCACACACTGACACAGTGACACCATCCTACCCTGGCTGTTGGTTCAAGCCATATCTTTCCCCTCTCCCCGACCCTCTACCATACACACACATACGCATCCTGACCTGCTGTGGCAACATTGCAAGCATGGTTGTTAGGGCCTTCAGAAGGCTGTGCCACTATCTGTCAAGTCAGCTGATTCTGCATCGCAAGGAGCATGGTAAGGTCTGTGAACTCTGTGGATGTGAGCCCCTGCTTCAGACAAGGCTGATGCTGTGTAGGTTACCATGGAGACCGATGAGGTGTCCTGAGAATGATGCTCTGGGTAGAACTGCTGTGGCCAGGAGAATGGCCTCTATGAGGAAGGCATCTGTCCTGGTGAGGTCAAAGCTTTCTCCTTCCATGTTGGGAGGGATCAAGTAAGCCACCTGCCCCCAGGGTGCCATCTGAGGGCATCAGTGCAAATGCATGCCTTTGATGAACTGGACAAACTATAGAGGCAGAAGACAGAACAGCCGTTTTGATCAGCCTGTATATAGTCCCAGATCCACGCTGGTCTGGGTCCATGGAACATGCACTGAACATCCTGGGAGAGGTGACATCTCAAGGATGAGTTATTGTATGTATATCTGATTTTCTTTTTTTTGTATATTTATTTATTTTGTATCTGATTTTCAAAAGCCTCACAGCACAGACAGCAGGGGAGAGACACTGGGGAATGACTCTTAGGGCAAATGGAAGGTGTCTAACTCATTTGTAGGTTTCCTTTCCAAGAAGGTTTTACGGGACAAATTCTAGAATGGAATAAGGCAGTGTCAGAGTAGAAGATGCCTATAGCTTGGCTTTTGCCAAAAGTGAAAAAAACAGAAACCTGGCTCTCCTGAGTTTGACAAAGATGAGGTTGATGCATCATGGCCCAAGACACCAGTACTTAAGGTGCTAATTTCTAAGACTTGACTGTGCCAAAAAGGAATCGTTATCAAACTCCCAGAGGCTCTGATGCAAACTCCAGGTTTGGAGGTGAATGAGACTCCATTCCTCCTTAGGCATGTCACTCAACAGGCTTGTCACTCGTGCTGCCACTCTTGATGGGAGGGGAGTCTCTAGTTACAGAAAACAAGGGGTCTCCAAGAGGAGAGTGAGAGAAAGATGGAAACCACAGGTCAGTCTTGAGGAGAGGACTTCAGCAATCACAGAATCCCTGACTGACTCACCGATCCTGTCTTTGCTCACTTATGTCCAACCTCCTAGCAACCCATGGAGTTGCCTCAACTGCAAGACCAAAGACATGTGGCAGAGTTGTGGGAAGAAACAGCCACTTCATCAGGAATCAGAGGTGCTGCAGATGCAGATGCAGCCTGAGCAGCAGCTGGTGAGTGGTGCCGGGAGCCTGAGGCCACTCCTTGCCAGGCACAGGGCAGGAGCGCAGTCTGACAGCAGGCTGAACCTGTGCCTGAAGGTAAACCACAGGCCCACACTGGGCTTCCATCCCACGACCTCACACCAGAGTGTGGTCTTCAAAGGAGACCCGCATTCCATGTGTGCTCCCAAGAGTCCGCAAGCCTGGAAGCTGTGTTCTGCCTGGGCATGTAGGTGAGCAGCTCTATGCAAGGGGCCTTTCCCTCACTGTCTTCATCTTCTACAGAGATGCGAGTATCTCCTCCTGAAGGTATACCAGTGCTCAGAAAGTACCGCTTTTGCCTCGAAACCGCATTATGTAAGTAGCAGCCACAGCCTGAAGGCTGTGAACTTGTGATTGGAAATTGTACAAACAGCTTTTCTCTCTGCTTTCTGGGTGACTGTCTTCCTTCATATGTCTTATCACAGATCATCCTAGATGAGATCTCAAGTTTGCATCGTAGATGGGGGGCTGAAGCCACATAATTTGACTTCTCAGAATCTGGAAGCTGCAAGGCTCAGATGAGGGTGCCAGTGGGGTTGGGCTTAACCCAGGCTCCTCCTCTGAGAGAGCTAGCTGCACCAAGAAGGAGCGAGCTCCTGAGGGTCTCCACAAGGGCACCAAGCCAATGGGGAGGCTCCACCCTCACAACATGGTTACCTCCCAACAGCTCTTACACGGGGGGAGGAGAGTGTCAGGGTTCAGCCATGCAAGGGAGGCGGGAGGGGGAGGAACACACGCCCTTTCCTCATCCACCCACCCTGGGAGTCTAGAGAAAGCAGGCGTGGAGCCACACCCCCAGCCCTCCCATTGTATTTGTTGATCTCAACAGGGCACCCAGCCATGCCAGGGCACACAGGGGCCCGTGTTAGACGAGATCAAGAAGAAGCTGCGCAGTCAGGTGTACTCGCACGTGGGGGGCTTCGTGCAGGACATGCGCCTCATCTTTCAGAACCTCAAGGCGTTTTGCAGCGTAAGTGATGCTCCTAGCGTCCCTGCTCTCCGTCATGGCCTTTCTACCTTGCATCTTCTATAGAGCGAATGTTTCAACTGCCCTCGTCAGTTGAGAAGCTCATACAAGCCAACGTGATAATGACAACCTGGAAGTATCCAGAAAGCTCTGGGGGGAAATAGCCCAAGCCAGAAAGCGTCACTGCCAGCAGGACCTAAGGCCCCTGCCTGTACTCTCTCACAGATGGGAGATTTCCGCCAAGGCAGAACGCTCGGCGTTCAGCAGAGCTGTTCACCCCCACAGGAAAGACAAGGGCATTTTCAGGGCAATCAGCTCTTCCCATCTTGAAGGGATGCTGTCATGGACGCCCTGTTAAAGCCTGGGTTCACTTGCCCCATGAGCAGCCAGTCCATGGCTGATGCCAGTACGGTGGTGAGAGAAAGTGGGTGTTGATTTTGCACTCCGTGATGCCCTGAGGGACTGAGGGCAGCAAGGCTTAGGGACTAAAGCTGGGGCTGAGCCGTGCTCCCCAGCTTGTGTGCACGGTGCTGGCAGCTTTCCTGTGATTGGTCGGTGGCTGAAGCCCCCGCAATTTCCTGAGAACATTGTGATGGCAGAGTGGACCAGAGGCCACCATAGATGGACATGGTCACTGTTTTGTTTGGTCAAGGCCAGGGGTTCTTGTGAAGTGTCTCAAATGGAATCCAGCTGCTCGAGATGAACTAGAGAGGTCATCATGGCTTTGCAGTCTCGTGGCTGCAGTCTTGTGGGGCTAGACTGATCCTTTTCCATAGAGTCATCAAAGCGGAGGCATAAGAGGACACGTTGAGGGGCGAGGCCGGAGCCTGCTAGTCTACCTCCCAGCCGGTAGGGACAGGCCCTGCAGACGACACCACACCAACCACCTCCCACCTTCAAATCCTGCTTTGCTTTACGCCTGAATTTCCTAGTCCTATAGCAAAAATAGTGAAAGGCATTCCCAAGGGGTGAGGTCAAGGTACAAGGGAAACATGAATTAAAGGTAGACACTTTTGTGCTATCACATTATTACATTTAAAATGTGCTAGTATCTAGTATCTAGAATTCATAAAAGTGACATCTATCCATGAATTCATAAAAGTTATCCAATATCTAAAATTCATAAAATTAAATCTCTCCGTGAACTGCCCATCAGGAATTAGCCTGAAGTTTGTGAGTTGAGTATTCCTAACCAAAACATGTGAAATTCCAAATGTTCAGAAAATTCCACACTGTAAACCTTTGCTTCATGCATTAAATTATTAAAAGTTGCGTGCACACTTACCTACGGGCCGTGTGGAAGGCACAGACGGTACATCAATGAATTTTTGTGTGTGAACTCAGCCTGTATAAACAGTGCATCCTGTTGCGCATGTGCAAATGTTTGCCAAGTCTCCAAAACGCAGAATCTGCTGCACTCCTGGCTCCAGGCGTCTTGGGGAAGAGGTGCAGAGTCTGCTTTTCCACCTTCCAAAGAGAAACCACCAGAACAGCAGAGCACACCTGCCTTCCGGCTGTGGGGCTCATGCCCACGGGGGAGGTGAGGAGTGGAGCCCCACAGTGGCTAATGTCATATCTATTCCTTTTCAGGATGGAGTGTTCCTGAGTGAACTCGAGGCCAAGTTTGAGAAGAACTTCCAACATATTTTTGCAGTTCAGGAAACCGGGCAGAGCATGTCTTAGTTGGAGCCCACCACTTGTCAACATTTCTTAGCCATCCCTGACCACCTATTTCTCTAAACTAAATTTAGACTTGTCCAAGTGTTCGGATTGAACCACTTGGAGAGAAAGTTGCTGTGGAAGAAGGGCACCTTTCTCCACAGAGCGTTGGCCTGCTCATGGCCTCCATGCATTCAGATGCTTCATCAGATCCTTCAGCAACGTCGTCTCTTCCCACACAGGACTGACATTCTTCTTCACCCCGAAGTATTTTATGTTTCGGTTGTTACTGTCAACGGTACCACTCTCCCTGTGCTTTGTTACTGTCGACTGTTACAGAAAGCTCCTGAGATCTGTGCATTCACTCACACACATGCAGATGTAAGTGCAGAGATCACTCCCTTACTGAATGCTGGGCAGTACTGGCGATTGTTTTCTGTTTTGTTTTGTTTTGTGCCTGGTACCCAAAAGCATCAGGAAGACTTGGTGGATACATGACATTTCCGTGGAACCGCGATTGACTCCACTGATGGAAGCATTCACTACCTGGGCTCTGAAAGCTCTGACGAGCCTTGGCTCTGCTGGAGGGTGGCTCTGCCTAGATGGTTAGGGTCAGCCACTCCAGGTGGCCTCCTGATGCCACCAGAAAGCCCACAGGGAACATCCGAGACCATGGATGCGGCGTATTCTCTTAGAACATACTTTTTCTTATGAGTGAGTGTACATTCAGCAATGACAATAAAAATAAAGAACAGTGAAACATAAACCAGTCCCGTAGTCATTTCCATTGTCCGTATCCAAAATTGCACATTGTATGTAATTTACGTACCTGCTCTATCTTTATGCACCTGGCCACGGTTTGCTTCTGCCAGTACCACCGCCTGGCACTGTAATGCTAGGAAAGCCGCAGCATCGCTGACTGATGAGAATGTCTGGCTCCATTACAAACCTAGGACCACCCTTACACATGCCTCCCTTCTGTGGCCAAAGCATCATCATGGAGTATATGACTCTACAGACATGGACAACTGCGGGGAAATGAGTAACTCTTCAGCAGGTGCCTTATAGTCCAGGCTGCAATACCACCTCCAGATTTCAAAAGGAGGATGGAAAGGCCAGGGAGGTGGGAGGGTGAGCAGAGAAGGTAGGCACTGGATGAAGCTTCCTGTAGTGCAGAGGGAGCCACTGTGATTCCAAGGACCCGGCTCCAGCCCTGCAGCACCGCATCACCTGTCACACATCACATGCCTGCAGGGAGCAGGATACAGAGCTCTCCTTGACCAACATCAGTTTCCCCTGTAACCCTTATGATTCACTCAGAAATATGCCTCCAAGGCAAGGGTCATCCGTGGCAGGTGCTCCCAGACCCTGCTTCCCAACATCACCAGAGAACACGGGGAGCTCGCAGTGGTCCCAAGCCACAGAGCAGTGACAATGCGGGGTCTCCCGACTGCTGTGGCATCCCCCCACAAGAGCAGACCAGGCCTGGGCCCACCCAGACAGAGCTCTGTGCACAAACCCACATCATCCTGGCACCTGTTAAGTCTTGCCCTGCAGCCCCCAGGCTGTACTATAAGTCAGGAGATAAGCTCTGGGTGAGTGCAGACCCATTGTCTCCGACTGCGACACAAACCCATCCATGGCACAAGGGTTGGCAGCTCTACTATCCATCTCCCACATACATTCCTCATGGTATTCCGTCCTTACATCTGGCAGGAAAAATGGCATGCCTCCCTATGAGTAGCTCTGGAAATGCCCCCTCCGAGGTAAGTCACTGACAAGGGCTTGCTCAAAGGGACCCGATGGGCACCCACCCCGTTACCTCCCCAAGAGCTTCCAGACCTGTCTAGCTGCAGGGCATGTGGGGTGTCCTTGTGCGGGGGACAAAGGTGCACCACTCATGTGACTCTGCCTGCTACCGGCTCATTCCTTGGAATCCATTGAGGCACCTTCCCCCACCGCACCACCACCTGCCCTCACCCTCCCACCCCAAGACTCCAGCCTCCCCAAGACAGCGAACCAGCAACCGGATGCTTGGCTCCAGATGAATGGAAGGCTTGTAGGAAGGAAGACAGGGCTGCCAGGGTCTTGCGGTCGTGCGGTGTCTGTGTGACTTCAGCCCAAGCAGCAGGGCCAGGGCCTGGCTGCACAGAGCCCTTTTAACTTGCTTCTGGTGAAACCCAACTCTAGGCTGGCAAACACTGGCACCCAGAAGCTCCCCACCTGTTGAGTGCACCCCTCCATGCTGGCCTGGAGCCATGCAGTTTGCACTACCTGCTTCTTCTCCTGGGCTCCCTCCTGATAGGGTGCCAGGGGCCACTGAGTTATAGAGAAATGAGGGGCAGCTGGACACACAGTTAGGCAGCCTCCTGGATTCCCACCTTCCCAGCTGCCACTTTCTCATTTTCTTCCGCAGGTTCCCTCCCACCCCTGACCTTGAAAGGTGGAAGCGACTGCAGGTCAGTTCTTGGGTAGCCTCGTTCTGGTCCCAGCTCCAGTGTCACTCTCTGTGCTGACAGGTCTCTAAGCCTCTGCCACCCAGGCAGGCTTCTGACCTCCAGGATTCTGACACCTCCACCTGACCCTGGAATGTCTATCTCGTGTTCTTGTTCTCCAGTAGTCAATGCAAGGAAATGAACAGAGCATCCACACACAGCACATGAATGCAGACAGAACTGGTGCCACTGTGAAAACAGCTCAGAAGGGATTACTTGAAGAATCAAAATGGCGGAATGGGTAAGGACACGTTTAAACGGATGGAGAAACATTTAATCAGGATGAAGCAGAGAGGACATTTTTCAGGAAATAGGAAAGGTGAGTACAACAGCAGAGGGGTACCTGGAGACTGACAGACACAGGAAAGCAGCGGGCACAGCAGTGTGGTGTTGCAGTGACTGATACTCCAGCACGGCGATCTGAACTCCACTAGCAGCCTGAACTCCACCAGCAACCAGGTGGGAAGGGACTTTCACTGGGTGCTCACCAGGTGAACCCAGACAGGGAACTATCTGTCCTGCTGGTCCGTTTGATTTGGCCAGGAGCAGAGACAGAGCAATAAATCTCAGGTGGTGTGAGAAGAGTGAATTTCATAGCCCAGTCAGCCCCCTAGAGCTGAATTGGGCACCATTTTGCGTAAGGAGGAAAGGGCAAGGGAAAGGACTGAGCATGCTCTAAGAGGGAGTGAGCTCATTTCTGACTCAGTGAACTGCAATGACGTGGCATTCTACAGGTTCCATCCAGGGCAGGTCTGGGTAACCCTCGGATCTGTCAGCCAGCAGATCAAGAACTGTTGTGGTAGCACGTCGGGCGCCATTTTGTGCACTGTGGCAATAGCTTTGGGACTGCAAGTGAAAACAGTGAACTGCGCTTGGGCTGAGCTCGTGAGAACTCACTGAGGTCCCGCAGGAAAATAATACCGACTGTGGCATCGTACCGGTCAAAATAGGTCAGTGTGGCATCCAGACCTAACGTCCAACAAGTTCCGACAAGATCAGCACCACCAACAACCTAACTAGATAGTACACCTGGTGTCTCAAATCCTGGAACCCACTCCAACCGGAAGAGGGAGAAAGGTTGCAGAGACACTGGTGCAGCCTCAGCACAGTATCACAGGAGGTGGAGAGCGGTGAGCCAAGAGCTGGGGCTGTGGAGATCACGGTGGATATCTGACATAAGAATCCAGGCCTGGAACTCGCTGGAGGTTGTGGCACAAGTGGCTGCAAAGCAAAAAAGTGGTGTACCAACTGTAATAAGTAAAATCGCATTGTAGACCTGTGGGTGACACAGCTTAGGACCTGCCCCAAGAAGAAGACTCTGCTAACTAGAAGTACAATGATCAAGAGCAAAAGAAGAGACAAAGGCACAATGAATCTTACTGAAAACTCCCCTGCAAAGGAGCAAAATCCTTTGGCCAACCTCAGAGTTCACTAAGGAAGACATCGAGAAAATGGGGGACACAGAATCCATAAGACTCATTTTAAAGATTCTGGTCAAAAATGAGAAGCTCATGCAAGAGTTCAAAGAATTTAAGGAAGCAGTAAAGCAAATCAAGGCTGGGATATCAGAAATTAAGAACACAGTAGAGCAAATTACAAGTACAGTGGAGAGTCTCCAAAATAGAATGAAGCAAGCAGAAGAAAAAAATCTCAGAATTGGAACATATCTCCTGTCACCAGGGGGAAACAAACAAAAAGCTGGAAGCAGAGCTGGATCAGGCCAAAAAAAGTATTCAAGAATTGAAAGACACTATTAAGAGGCCAAATATAAGAGTTATGGGAGTCCCGGAAGGTGCAGAAAGAGAAGCTGAGTTGCAAATGTATTTAATGAAATAATCAAGGAAAATTTCCCTAATCTGGAGAAAGAATTGGGAAACAAGATCCAGGAGGGACACAGAACTCCCAACAGGCTTGATCAAATGCAATCTTCACCAAGACACCTGATAATCAAGCTCTCTTCAATTGAACATAAGGAAAAGATCCTTAAATGTGCATGTGAAAAAAATCAATTGACATATAAAGGAATGCCAATTAAGCTCACAGGAGATCTCTCACAGGAAACTCTACAGGCAAGAAGAGAATGGAGTGACATATTCCAGATTCTAAAAGAAAAAAATTGTTGGCCTAGGATAACATATCCAGCAAAGCTTTCTTTCATCTTTGAAAATGAAATAAAATTATTCCAGAGTAAAGAAAAGTTAAAAGAAATTGCCTCTTCCAAACCTGCCCTACAAATGATACTTCAAGATGTTCTCTTGACAGAGAAGAGGAATAGCACCTACCAAAACCAAAGGCAAACGGGAAGAACATCCCAGTAAAATGACAACAGAAGACTAAATCAATGAACAATCCATTCCTAAAATGACAGGACCAAATTAACTCTGAATGTAAATGGCATAAGCTCAATCAAACATCATAGATTAGTAGACTGGATTAAAAAACAAAACCCATCTGTTTATTGTCGGGAGGAGACACACTCCAACAAAGATCAGCGGAAACTATATCACATGGGTTTTGTTGTTTTCTATTGGTTTCATCTCTTCAAAACACTTTCTTCTGATTAAATCATTCAATGACTCGTAGACCATGCAGTGGCATCACTTTCTTCAAGAAGGTTCTTGATTTTCACTTCTTCAGCTACACATTATACATTTAATAGCATGCTGTTTAACTTCTTGGTAGTGTTAATTTCTTTTTTCTCTCAGATGCTGAGTTTGTTTTGTGGCTCTTCATTTAAGGGAATGCATAGTAGTTGTGCAATGGAGATGGTCATATCTAGTAACATGTCATTTAACTTCATGGCATTGTAAATTTCTATTTTTCTTTCTATTGTTGATTTTGTATCATGACTTTGCATTTAAGGAAATGTACAGTAGTCATGTAATGGAGACTAACATCCAGATGTGAGGATGCAGTGTGGTATGCATTTCTGCTTCCAGACAAAGATGGACTTACAGTGAAACAGTTTATATTATATTTTGACAATAGGACTCAGGACTCTCTGCCATTGTCCATGCCCGAAAAGATGGACATATGACTGAGTATGAAGAACTATATATTAGTGATGATATAAAGGAACTAGGTGGGTGGGGGAGGGAATTGGGGAGGGGATAAGGGAATATGGAACTGTATCATAAAATGACAGCAATAATAATAAAATGTGAAAAAAAGGGATTACTTTTCTTTTCAAGAAAGATTTATCTTTATTTGAAACGCAGAGTTACAGAGCGAGAAGAAACAAATATCTTCCATGTACTGGTTCATTCCCCAA